GCCATCCGGCTGTGTTGCTTGTTGTTATTTCGTTTTGTTGTTGGGGCGGACAGTCTGTAATCGCCCGTACGCAACCAGTCCCATTAACCCCTTGCCCCCGATGATAATCATCCCCCCCCAAACCCCCTGAATATGTATTATCCCGTGTCAATAGGATTTAAATGTGGAGAGGGGAGGCGGGGCCGAATTTGATACTCCCCGGGGGAAGTTGCGAATCGAAGTTGTTGTCGTCTTAGGTTGACTGGCATCAGCATCAAAAACGCTGAGCATGGCAACGGTGGTCTCACCATTTCAGCTTTCGCAGTCACGGGCGTGTGGCAGGGCTATGGGATTCTCACCATTTCAGTTGTCCCACGTCACGAAGGTGCGGCAGGGCTATTGGATTTTCACATTCGCAGCCGTTCCCGAGTCAGGCGCAGGCAAGCTGCAGCAGTCGAGTGCCAAGTCCTATAAGGTCAGTCTACACGAGCGCCCAGGATCATCAGCATCATCATCATCATCATCATCATCATCATCATCATCCTCTTCCGCCGGAAAAATCGTTGATTATCCCCGCTTGATCCCCGAATTTTCTTATCTCCTGGGGATTATTATCACGGGCGGCCGGTTACAGGGACATACAGGCCAATTGTTGTAATAGCCCGCAACCAAGAAGTCTAGCATGCTTATGACCAGCCCACCCCCCTTAACTCTTGATGCTGCGCGTACCTTCACCAGCCCATCCAGGAACCATGCCCAAGCGAGTTGCCTTGGTCAGGCAAGAATAGGAGCAATCAGTGGAACAAAGAGGTCGGGCAGCCGTCAAACCGAAGCTGGGAATCAGCCTGATCAGGCCCAGGAGCCAATCATGCACGGATTCTCGCACATTTCGATATCGGAGCCTCTTGGCAGCTGAGTGTGGGTTTCTTCTAACCATGTTGGAGGCCTTTAGAGCTCTCTTAAGACCCTCTTGGGGCTCACTTGGGGCCTTCTTGGGGGCCTCGGGAGCCATCCTGGAAGCTATCGGTCAAAGAATGGGGGGCCTTCTTGGAGGCCTCTTGGGCTGTCCTCAGGCCCTCTTGACCCGTATTCGGGCCGTCGTGGGACCTTCTCGGGGGCCAGACGGGCTGTCTGAAGGCGGTTTGGGGGGCCTCTGGGGGCCGTCGTGGAGCGTCGGAAGCCAGAAAAGGCGAGAAAGCCAAAAACTGTGGAAATAACACATTCAAAATTAACGATGTTTGCCTCGGGGGCCCTCGTGGGAGTTCTCGTCGAAGCCTCTTGGGGCGTCTTGGATGCGCCTCTTGGGGCCTCTTTTGTGGCTCTTGGGTGTCTCGTGGGGGCCTTGTGGAGCCCCTTGAGGGCCTCTTGGGCCATCCTGGGAGCCTCTTGGGGCGGAGAGCTAGAATTTTCGGTTCGTGGTCCTTTTATTTGGCCCTTCTTGGGGCCTTCTTGGAGGCCTCTTGAGCTGTCTTGAGGCCCTCTTGACCCGTGTTCTGGCTCTCTTAGGCCGTCGTGGGACCTTCTCGGGGGCCTGCTTGACGGGCCGTCTTAAGGCGGTCTAGGGGGTTTGGGGGGCCGTCGCGGAGCGTCGGAAGCCCGAAGAGGCGAGAAAGCCAAAAATATGTTGCTTGTGTTTTCCAACCACAAAATAAATATACACACACACACACACACACACACACGCACACAAAAAATAAAGGGTATTGGCCTCGTGGAGCCTTCGTGGGAGGTCTCGTCGAAGCCTCTTGGAGCGCCTTGGGGCATCTTGGGCCGTCCGGAGGCCATCTTGGGCGTCTTGGGACGACGTTTCGGCGACTCGGGGCCTTCTTCGACCGTCTTGGAAGTCTTTTGGGGCTCTCGTAGCCCGTTTCAAGCTCGGGTAGACCCTTCCCCTATCGACCGAATCCGGCTCCCAGGGGAGGGGTTTGGGGAGGGGGAAGCACCTCACACGCCGATGAACCCCAAGGGGTCGGCAGATTTTGCCCTTTGGCGTTGGGCTTGGCATCGCTCGGTCGTGGGCATTTTTTTCCCAGGCGAGGCCCATCGAGGAGCAACCTGGGTCATCGAGCAAAAAGCACGTGCGAAACCGCAACAATGCACGGAGAAAGAACGTCCAAGCGATGGCAAGTGGAGGGAGGTTATCCTCTCGAGGGCGTCCTTGGCAATCTCCGTGGCCACTTGGAGCACGTTGGAGGCTATATTTAGCCATCTCGGCCTATATCGCGGCATTTTGAACGACATCTTGGGTTACTTGGGGCCCTCTTGGGACCATCTTGGACGCTCTTACCGCTCGCGGGGAGAGTGGATCCAGACCCAGAGGAGGGGTAGGGGGGTCCCCAGAGGGTGAGAGGGAGGCTGCAAGAACGAATTCGTTAAGACACCTACGCCCAGAGGGCTGGTGGGAGTTTGTGCGTGTGCTCGTCCCCATGGCACTGTCAGAGTGAGGGGGCCCGAACGGTCTTATTCAGAGAGATTACACCATTCCGCCGACCCCAAGAAGAGGCGCGGAGTCCACGGTTGAGGCGTCGCGGGCTTTTGTATCATAGAATGGGGAGTTTGGCCCCTGGCCCCACGGGCGGCACACTTTTTCAAAACCCCACCCCCCGTACCTCTTTTTCGTCCCGGGGGGGGGGGGGGGAGAGCGACTCTTTTCGGGACGTTTCGGCCAGCTTTTGGTTGGGGGGCCGCAACTCGGCCCCCAGAGAGATCAGACAGCCGTCCCGGCGGCCAAAAACAGCCCCGAGCCACTCCGAACACGGCCTCCAGGGGTCTCAGACAGCCCAATTGCCAAGAAGCTTCCCAAACGGACCAGGAGGACCCCGAGACGGCCCAAGAAGGTTCCAAGATGACCCCGACGAGTGCCCCAATAAGCCGCAACTCTAGTTTCCCCTTTGGTTTTTGAATGAGTTTGGAGTTCTTGCCGCTTCGGGCTTCCAACAATCCTAGACGGCTCAGGAGGCGCCCAAGACCGCCCCGAAAAGGCCCAAGTGGGGTCCAAGAAAGCCCCAAGACGGCGTCAGAGACCTCTGGGGAGCCCCAAGATGACTCGAGAGGGCCCCAGGACGGCCCAAGAGGCCCCCCAAGACGGTCCACGGGGGGCCCCAGAGCGGCCCAAGAGAGCCCCAAGGTGGGGAACACGAACCCGCAATTCCAGCCTTCCGCCCCCACAGACCCCAAGAGGCCCAACGACCCGATGAGGCGCCTCGAGGTTCCTAAGAGGCCCCCCAAGAAGCCCCGAGAGGCCCGAAAGAGTCCCCAAGAAGCTCCAAAACGGCCCCCAACAGGCTTCGCAGCCGCCCTCGACGAGGTCCCCGAGAGGCTCCCCACGAGGTACCAACGAACACCCACGAGGCATCTGACACAGCCCAGGTAGCGTGGCGAGATGGCCCAAAGGCCAATGTATATCTATATATATATATATATAGATGTACATACATACATACATACATACACACACATACATACATACATACATACATATATACATACATACATACATACATACATACATGCATACATACATACATACATACATACATACGCATACATGCACACCTAAGCACACACGTACCTACATACATACATACATACATACATACATACATACATACATACATACATACATACCTGCATATATACATACATACATACATACATACATACATACATGCGTACGTACATGCGTACGTACGCACGTACATACATACATACATATACATATACATACCTATATATATATATACGAACATACATACACATACATCCATACATACCTACACACATACATACACACATACGCACATACATGCACATGAACATTCACATACACATACACATACATACAAGTTCACATGCACCTGCACAGACACGTACACATACGCCTACACATACACATACACTTACACACACACGGACACAAACACATGCACATACACATATACATAAACATGCATATGCACATGCACGTACACATACACGTTCACACACATGCATGCATGCATACAGACCGACAGACAGGCGGACATACATACGCGCATCCAATACATACATGACTACATATACATGCATACATACATGCATACATGCATGCATGCATGTATCCATGCATACATGCATACGCACATACAAACATACATACATACGTACGTGCATGCATAGACATACATCCATACATACGTACATACATACATGCGTACGTACACTCATATATACATGCACACATGCATACATGCATACATACATACACACATACATACCTGCATGCATGCATACATACAGACATGCATAACACATTCATGCATGCATACGTACATACATACACACAAATATACATACATGCATGTCTATACATGTACATGCATACAAACATACGTACGTACACACATGCATGTGTCCATGCATACATGCTTTCATACATAAGTCCATACGTGCATACATACATACATTCATACACATATATACATTCATACGTGCATGCATACATGCATAGACACTCATCCATACATGCACAATCAGACATACGTACATATCATGTGTATACGCGTATACACCCATGTACATATACGCATGCACGGAAGGTCCCGGCCCCGGGGCACGGGGGGGGTAGGGTACCGCTTGCACAGAGCAGCCCCCGCCCTCCCCCCGGGGTGCTCCAAGAGGCCGGCCCTCGGAGCTCCGAGACGGCCCGAGGGCGTGCCACGATCGGCCACGACAGCCTCCCGACTCCAGGACGCCTCCAGGACGCCTCCGGGAGGCGCCTGGAGGGCCCCCCCCCCCCCCCTCCCCCCCCCCTCCCCCCCCCCTCCCCCCCCCCCCACCCCCCCCCCTCCCCCCCCCCTCCCCCCTCCCCCCCCCCCCCCTCCCCCCCACGAGCGTCCCGAGACGGCCCGAAGCAGTCTCAGGACGCCCCAAGAGGCCCCCCTGAGAGGGCGCGGGCTTTCAAGGTGGAACGCGGGCAGTGGTCCTGGATAGGCCGATGTTCAAAGGCCTGGCGTCCTGGAAGGCCGCCGATCGTTCAAGGT